TATAATATATATAATATATAAAAATATATATAATATATATAATATATAATATATAGTATATATAATATATATTATATATATATAATATATATATATACACACACACATATGTACATATACCTATATATACACATATATATATTTTTAAACTATTTTTATAAAAATGTGTGTGTTTTCAGCTGACATCCACAGAAAGCTAAACAAAGAACTTGGAAAAGGTCTTGAAAATGTATCTGGCACCAAATGTACTTGAAAAAAAATAATTTTGAAAACCCCCCGAGTTTCATGGAGGAAGAGAGTTTCCCATGGCAAACCCACAGAGGAAAAATGTTTTTCTTTTAAACCATTATGATACAGTACAGATCACTGCTGTCTGAAAGCTAAGATAAATACAGCTACCCACAGTGCCTATCAGAAAGAATAATCACTTCAGAATTGCTACACTGTCCACCTGTATTACTTTATTTATTTAGAATGGCAATTTTGATTTAGACCGTCTCATGGTGGGAGAAACCCTGTTTGTGGTTGTTCTTGCTTATCAACCAGGGGAAAAAACCTGCATCACCAAAATGTGTGTACAGCCTCCGTGGATTTAAGGGAATGTGGTGCATGTTCATCTCAGCTGGGGTTGGATGAGAATTAATTGAACTGTAAGATAATGCTTTTAACACTTTGCTATTTCTTCCCGTATTGAAACAAGCTGTTCTTATGTCTTCTGTGTAAGTACTAAACGGGATTTTAACTTTTTGTTGTTATTCTTGTAAGAATTTGTTTGAACGATCGCTTTTAATATGTGCTGCCACCTTTCCTGTGAGACATAAATGTAGGGTGCTGCACAGGGTTCCTTGGTGCTTTCTCATAATAATTAAAATGTACAATAATTAAAATGCACATGTACATTTTAAATATCTTCCTCTCCCACTCTTTAATGCTATTACAACCAGAAGTTTCACCACCTAATGTGCCTAAAAAGGCTGTAGGCAGTTTACACGTTTTAGCTGGGAGTCTTGCTATATTCACTTATTCTTAACATGCAAGGGCTAATGTTTATACAAAATATCCAATCTTTTCCTGGGTGCATTAAAAGACTGTTTATTTGTGCCTCTATACTTAAGGTCATGTCAGCATTCCCAGAATAAACTCTTTATTTGCAGATGCCAGGCATGAAATTCATCGTATGGAGTCACAAGGGCTTCAGAAAAACCAACACCACTAGTTGAGAAAGCTGTCCTTTTTTTATTTTCCTTTTATGAAGTCCTCCAGATCTTTAAGCTTATGGAGAACCTAGTTATAGACAATGGAGAAACCTCCAGGGGGAGAATATAAAGCATTTAATGTGTAATTTTGAGTTCCAGGGTCACAAAGTCTTACACTCTCTCTCAGGCAGAACTCCTAGTGTTTGTCTCTCAGCCACATGAAAGCCCTGAAATTGTATTAAATATTTAAGTATCTCCAGCATGTATTTAATCTCTCAGTCTCTTCCACTGCCACAAACTGAGCTCATTGTTTCTGAGGCTTCACACTCTGCCTGTCCTGGCACTGAGAGTGGGGAAATATCTCTTCTAAAACATGAGACTCCTGGAGGGTAACACACGCAGTACAGACTGTATTACAGGGTGCTTTTGGAAATGTATGCACAGTGAGTTCTGGCAGTGCCTCCTGATGCCTGACTCAAGATGCCCTCCTTTCTGCTTCTCCTTGTGCACCGAGGGAGCTGAGCTGAGACAGTAAGTTGTCTTTGATTTTCTTTTCTCTCTGGCACCTTTCTCAGCTCCTGTATTTAGAGTAATGGGGATAATTTTCATTTTGGCTTGCAAGTGTGGGGAATCTCATCTGTTTCTCTAACCAAGTTTGTCAAAACTTGAATTGCTTTCAAATAACCTGCATAGAACAACCTTTGCACAGTGAGAGATGTAGGTGGCTAAATGTAGCACACATTCCTGAAACAGCCTGTTTTAATTCTGGCATAAATTTACAACGTGCTGTGCATGCAACCACTTCCCTCAGCTCCTTCCCCACTTTAGTCCAATATGCCACCATCCATCCACTGCAATACACCATCAAAATGTGCTCCTTGAAATCTGTCTGAGATCCAAGTGGGGGGGAGTAGTGCTGCTCCTTACCTTCATGAATCCCACCAAAGACATGGAGTTTGGGCCTTACTCGCCTCTGCACCGTGTTCAGCAGCTCCACACAACCCACTCTCTGCAGCTCCTTTGGAACCCAGTCTCGAAAACCTGAAGGCGAAATGCAATCAATATTGTTAATTTTCTCTATTCAGGTAAGGTTTCACGTAGTCTTTCAGGAAGTCATAATTCACAGAAGGTTTATTACATTATCTCCAGTCATAACCTCTCCATTAAAGCACACAGCGGCTTTTAAGGAATGTTTCACTGTCACTTTGTCTTCCTTAAGATTTCCTCCCTTCTTCTGCATTAATATTTTTCTGGATGTGATTTGGTTTTTTAAACTACAGGTTTAAACTCATCTTCCACCTTGAAACCCTGGGACACTTATTCCTGGCACTGCTGCAGATTTTTCTTCCCTTTCCCCTGGCTCTTGGAGCAGTCAGCTTCCCAAGCCAGCTGTGTGGTCACTCCAGAAGTGAAACAGCTCAGGAAGATCAGCTGATCTTGATACAGCTGTCACCCCAAAGGTTTAAAATACAGTCTCCCACAACTTCCAGAGGGCCATGGTCTGCAAGCATCAGGTAACTCCTGAGCCCAGCATCACCAACCTCAAGCAATGCAGCAAAACAGCTTTCAAAAGCCAGTGCTAATGGACTACACTGCCAGTTGGTCCTACAGATAATATGGGAAAATGCACAAAATTTGACATCAGTCCTTACAGAAGTTTGCTGCCTGGACTAGCACTGACAAACATCAGCAGGGCAAGATGAAAGAGGGGGAGTGAAAGGCAAATCAGGAGCCACGTCCAACTGCAGCACCATTCTCCCGACTTTAGTGTAATTACACTCTGTGCCAGGTTTATCCCAGGTAGTAAAAACGTGTTGTGACATGAACTTGGCTAAATTTTAGAACGAACAAAGAGTCGTCCAGTTACAGCTCTACCTCCCTTAATATTTACTTACTAAGTAAATAAGTAAACAATAAATAGTTATTTAAAAAGCAGTATTTTGTCAATATCACCACAGAGGCTGGGACCTAAAGCCCCTCATTTTAGGCACAGTACTAACAACTAATCTGTGTCTGTAGTCAATATACAGTGCCAACCTTTTGAAACTGAACTTTATTATCTCCATCAAACACAAAATTTAAGTATGCTTATTCAATTAAAGCAGTCCTTAGTGTCTGCAGCATCACAGTGCTTCTGTACGAACCCAATTCAGAGCAGATGGATTAACAACCCATTTAAAACAGCACCCATGAAACATTATAAACATGCTTGCGGGGGTTTTTTTGCTTCTTTGGGAAAATAAACTGATTAGGAGAGTGCTGTTCAAAGCACTGGTTTGCAATATTTGGTGGCTCCAAAGCCAGTGGATGCTGTATCTCTGCTTTAACACAGCAGTGAGGTGGGAGCTCCAGTAAGGTTAAAGAGAATTTGCAGATCACCTTACAGTGTTCTCTAAGTAGCACCAAAAAAAAAAGGAACCAGAATATAAAAGGAGCAGTAATTACATTGGTCAAAAACTTCCTGGGCTTTTTTTTCCCCTTAGCTTTGCTTAGGTTGCTGACTCTTTATTGTGGCAGAAAGCATAAGCATGCATTATTTCCTGATCCCACTGTCACCAAGAAGCTCTGTGAGATCACTGAGCCAGCCTGGAAGCATTTAAAATGCTGCTTTATGATGGCACCACGCAATTCTTAGAAGTTTTTACTATATTCACAACCACCTCAGAAGTCAGTGTCTCTGTGTGATTTGTGTGATGATCTGACCCCTTGGATTGCAAGCGCTTACTTAAAACCCTGACAAAATCACAGCAAGGGCAATGAAAAGACTGCCACACTTCCTTATCCTGGTAAGTCATATTTATAAAAGACAGATGCTCTGTTGTAAACCCCACTGAAAGACTTAAAATACAGTCCTGGACTGCTTGCCACATGTGTCTTATAGAAAAGCAGTAAATAATATGTGATACTATCTTCTGGGGTACAGGGTAGAGGAAAAATAGTGGGGCTTTTCAAGTGGTTTTAGTGTGGGCTTTAATGACTTCAGACATGCCAAAACTGAGTACTCCTGTCTCTGCTACATGAGTATCCCAGTGTCTTTTTGAGACCATCAGAACCTAGTTAAGATCTCACGAGCTAAAATGGAGATCAGTGAATTACTCACGTTGACAAGGCAAGCAAAATTCAACTAAATGAGAAACTTTTAGCTACCTAATGAGAAAACAAATTATGCATTCACAGACTGGTGCTCACCCATTATTAGTTCAAGTAAGGAACAATTATTTAAGAACGTAATTTTATTCCTTCACAAATTTTTTATAAGCCAATTAATACCTTTAAAACTACTGTTACATATTCTAAGTTTATAAGGACTTTATCAAGGAGGAGATGTGATTACATACTCCTAAACTCCTGACTGCTTACTCTCAAACCTTAAAGTCACATGCCATTGTAGTGAGAAAAGTTTTTAAAAGTTTTAGTCAATCTCTAAAAAATCATATGGGATTGGAAACTGCTTGTCAGATGAATACTCTTCTTAAATAAAATGTCACACTATAATGGTTATTGAGTCAGATATTTGATCTCCCTTAGCTTGAATTTAACAAAAAAAAATTAAGGTTTTTATTGAAATTCAACAGATCAGCTAAGCCTAATCATCATTTTCCACTTCTTCCAAGAAGGTTTTTAATCCATAGTTTTGAGTTTGGGTGCAATTAGAGTATAGGGTAGAGCATTATTAGTTTTGCTTATCTTGAAAGTAAAATTCTCACGGAAAAAAAATCACACAGAGCTTTTGTTTCACTTACCAAGGGGAGGTCCATGTGTCATTAGTATATCAATTCCCTCAGGAATAAGGTTCCACTTGTCTAGCAAAGACTGACCTCTGGGTAGATTAAAGCCCCATCCATTAAACCATGGTGTCCTTTGGGGGAAAATAAGACAAACTGCATCAGCATAAAATAAAAATCTCTTTCCTTCTCCATTTTTTTTCCAAATTAAACCAATTTCTGTGCTTCAGAGATTACTTGCAGACAGCCTTTTTGAAGGGGATGCCTCTAAAACACGCTGACTCAAATACATACATGTATTAATGTATACGTTTGAATTCAGATTAATATCTGATGCTATTTTTGTACTTGAAGAGTATTCAGCCCTGGGGGCATTTACTCACTAGAGGGAAAGCGAAAAATATTAGTATAACACAGTCTAAATATAAAGCTTTCTTTTTCAAAGTTTGGGGATGTTGGAAGATAAGAACTCCTTCCTCATCCTAATTACCAAAACAAGCAAAAAATTTCCAAGGCTTTTCAGAAGCAAATATCAATTTCTCACAGCAGTAACAGTTCAACAGGATGCACGAGGTGGCACTTAAAAGCACCATCTGTGCTACAGCGTTTCACCAAACTCAAACTTGCTCCTTTTAGCACTTTTAACACCAGGTTACTGTCACCTGTCTTGGTTTTGAACTCCTGAGCCTCCAAAAGATCCCCATCACACAGTGTTTAGCCTCACGATGGTTTTTTAAAGAGGTCTTACAATTTAAAGTTCATTTACTATTTCTTAAGGAAAACTTATCTTCTCAGTCTTTTCCACCATAGCATAGCACTGTTCTGAGACACTGGTTTAACCACCAATCCAAGCCTGTAGCAATGACAAGTGAACCTTCTAGGAGTACTTTTTGAAAGTATAACAGCAAAAATGAATAATTTTCATGTTGGTATATCATAATAAAGCCTTTCCTTATCAGGTAGGTACACAAAGCAATTGTTCTGAAAGGATGCTGTAATGTCTGGTACTAACAACTTTTTATACAGCTGTTTGTACTGTACTAATTTTAAGGGTTTTCAGCCATGTGTGCATTTCCTAGAGCTCAGGAAAGAGATTTAGACTTCATTTTCTAGGTAGGAAACTCCTATCCTAGCCCTAGTCATTTGGGGGGTATCTTTCTGAGAGTTCAAGCTACTCCTGACATCTCCTGTGTACTGCAGTTCTGAAAAGAGAAAACAAAAATTGGGGCGGAAAAACAACCACAAACCAAAGAAAACTGTACCTTTTAAAGACAGAGAGATCGTTAGAGCCCTATGTAATTTCATTATGTAACCTGCCTCCTCTACCCTCTAAATTATTCATATTTCTCCACCTCAAATATGCATTAAAGCGGGAGTGTCCTGCTGAGATTACATCTCTAATTTTTATTTTTTGTAATTAAAGTGCTTTGTTTTCCCGACACAATGATTTGACCAAGGAGGATTATACCCAGTTATATGGATGATCTGCATTCCTGACAACTGGCAGTATGGAAAAACAGCAGGCGCTGCTAATATAGGGGCAGGAAGGTCACTGGTGCCTTAGTAACAAATAATAGACATATCCCATGTAGTCCTACTGAACTAATACTTATACTACACACACACACAGGAACTCATTCAAGCCAGCAGACTTCCTGAATGAACACTAACAAAAGATAGGGAAATTAGATGTTAGTCAAACATTTGATGTGAGCTATGAGTTCGAAGCTTCACCTCTCACAGCTGCCCTGCTCTGCACCCACAGAAATGCCCAAAAGTGTTGCAAAGTAAGGTCATTGTACTCACAGAAGGTTTGTATGCAGCTGAATTAAAACTGAAGGTTGTGTTCTTAGCTTTAACCAAATCACAAGAATTTCTGCTCTTCTAGGATTGACCTTCCTGAAACATGGATCTAAAGTTCCTGTCCTACAGAGCTCCTAGGTCTCAATATATCAAAATTATTGTAACCTTCAAGGCTGCAGTTGGAAGTTTAAATATTGTTTGGCTAAACATTCAGCTGCTTTAAAAAAAACAAACACACAGAGCGTTGGTCGAACTTTTCACTGTCAATTAATGATTCTTTCCCCACTTGCATTTCTCCCAAAGATAAGACTGTAGTTATTACACCATAGTTAAACCTGAAACATGAAACCACATCTGTGATTTCTCTGGAGCTCTTTGGAGACTACAACCACAGAAAAAGCTGGATTTGTCTGCTGGTTTTTTATTTTATTTTATTTTCTTCTGAAGCACTGTGGAAGAAGGAGGGGAACCTGAGCTCAAATATATTCCTCATTCACCAACACTGTAATTAGCTGTGACTAACAGGCCCCACATGGGAATCCACTTGCAAAGAAAACTTTCAAGAAACCTTCCTGATTATGCAGCATGTGCACAAAAAAAGATGGTCAAGTGCTTACTTAATGTAATAAAGATTTTCATACAAAATGAACAAATCAAGGAGAAGAGCAGGCATGACTGGAAGAACACCTGGATTGCAGATTTAGGCTTCAGGCATTTAAAACACAAAACCTTGCATATTCAGTGCATATTCACTGCACAGACCAGGCAGACTGAGGGTCCCTGCCTTTCAGGGGGGTCCAGGCATTTCCAGAAAGCCAAGAGGATGTGTTCAGAACACCACCAAGAAGGGAAACAGCTTTCTGGCACCGGCTCAGGTTTAGATGAGATCACAGGGAAGGTCACCCGATGTTTGCACTCGGCTGTGTTGCAGTGCAGACGAAATGGGGTTGATGTGCTGTGAATCCCACAGCTCATCCCGTGTCACAATCCCAGGAGCGCACAGGGAACGGCTGTTTACCCCCAGCAAACTTTAAATGTTTGCAGAAAAGACAACCCCTCACTGTAGGTAGGTAGCATCCTATCAAAGGCTATTGGAGAGGGGTAGTTAACTCCCATTAGTGCCTTTTTTTGAATACATAAGAGTTAAATAGAGTCACTCTCAACTTCTAAATAATTTATAAGAAAAACTGTGCATGACGTTAGGTGCCTTCTGCAACATATTTTCAAGCTGATTACTCACTGTGAGAAACCACTTCCTATCTAGGAAGAAATGCCTATAATGAACTTTGGCTGCACTGTCAGGGTTTAAGCCCAGCTGGCAACCAAGCACCACACAGCCACTCCCTCCCTCCCATGGGATGGGAAAGAGAATCGGAAGGGTAAAAGCACATACACCAACCTGTGGTATCCCCTAATCAGGTGCAAATAATTAGTAAAGGCTGCTTGATCCTTAGCAGCCATATTTCAGATCCGACCTGTTTTTCTTTCCTGTGGAGCTCCAAGTAAAAGTAATTTCAGTTAACTCCTAAACCCGTCCATCGTGTACTTCATTTTTAGGTACAGCTGGCAAGAGCAGAAAGATATCAGCTGTTGAATAATGCCACGAGGGAGGCGTGGACGGAAAACCCACCGGGACTGGTAATGAGAGATTACAAATGATTTTGTCATTTTACGTTTGATGGACCAGAACACTTCCTCACACCCCATGCCTGGCGTGTGCAGGGGAACCTAATTGAGCCTCTGCTCGTCAGAACCACGCCACACTCCACAGCCTCCCTTCACGTGCCATCAAACTGCCACGATAATTCCCAGTCCCTGGCTCACCTGACAGCTCAGCCCTGGCCTGACTGCAAAGCTTCCCTGTCGTTTAGGGACAGCAGCTCTGCTGGCACCAGGTGTGACACAGGGAAGATCCTCGTGAAAGGCAGACACCTGGCCCGTCCCTGCTCTCCTCAGCTCTTCATTTCTACGCAGGAATCCCCACAGGTCCCCCTCCACCTGGCATTCTGGAAGCTACATTGTCTGCAATTAAAACTGAGTGCTTCTGCAGGAGGCTGCAAATTATCTTCGCACCCCGTGCTGCAGGAGACACAGACATTACTTGACGTGATGCCAGGAGGGAGGGAATCTTAAGCTTCACAGCAAGACTCACCCTCCTTTTACAGGTGCATTGGGAGAACCCCTGGACAAGACACACAAATCCATCTGCTTTTTACAGCAGAGAGCTGCCTCTTCAGCAGGTGATCGGATCTCCCTTCTCCCGAGCAAACACCGGACGGTTTTATCAAAACCCAAATGAACCAAAGCCAACCCACAATAAAAGCACAGTCGTGGAGCATTATTTCATGACCAAAAAAATCACAACTGCTCTTTGGTGTGCTCCTCAGAAGCAACACTATGACATGAGGAAACAGGAGACACAAGGCCATAGCCAAGTTTATCCAGGTGATACAGGAATTTCAAATCCTTCTGGAACTTTAATGTTTTTAAAGGTTGGTATCTCCTACAACCTACTTTCATCTCTTCTCTGGCTCATGAATTTAATTACCTGATCCTCAGAGTTCAACAACTCAAAAGGTAAATGTACTGTGAGACCTTCTAGATTCAGATTCTCCTCTTAACTCCACCAGTAAATCCGTTTATTTCAATAGTTACTTCTAAACAGGATTAGAAAAACTAAATTATCTCATGGTTCTTAAATCCCATGTATTCATTCATTTTTAAGGCTGCCCAGTCTTTTAGGAAAGCTTCAATTTTATCCTTAATCCAATGAGTAAAGTGTGCAGGAGGCAAAAATCTCATTCTATCTCCTTCCACAGGATAACAGCCAAGGGAGTGTCTAAAAGGCATCACAGCAGGAAAAGCGCTTCCACACGACCAATAACAGTAATGAAATGCTCTTTATTTTTTTTCAGCATTCCAACTGAGCACACAGACCTGGCTCGGGAGGGAGGGAGACAGTTCCAGCAGCAGAACAAAAGTGGTGGGACAGGACACGGACACGCACTCCTGGACCTGCTCAGCTGCAGGACCGTCCTACAGACACGTCCCCAAAGCGTCTACGCCGGTGCTGGTGCTGGGCAAAAGCTGCTGCCACAAAGGGATGGGGGGGGAACAGTGACCTTTGTGCCCAGAGAAGAAGAAAAGCCTTTCAATCCCCTCCCTCCGTCCCGCACGAGTGTTTGTTGCCAGGGCCGGGCAGCCCACACGTGCCGGGCGCCGTGTTCAGTCAATGGCCAGAACGTGCCTACTGGGAATACACAAACAGGGGCTGCCAGGGAGAAGGGGAAGGAGGAGAGCATGTGTAATCAAGGAGACAAAAGGCTGAGCA